TTTTTTCCCAAATTTTTTTTCTATTTTTTGTAATCACCCAAATGTATTGTAAAATCAATACATTCATCACTTCATTCCGAATCTAAAAAATTGTATGTACATAATATAATCTGTGTTATAACATGGCACTTACTAAATTTATATACATGGGGAGCATCCACGAAGCATGTGCATTTTAATTTTTAATAACATCTACTTAAGGTGGATTGATCATCTTGCATCTTGAATCTACTGTAAAGTGATTACGGCCATAAAGGTATTATGTATAAATCATCGATGTTTATAAATTTATGAATTTTTATAGTATAGATAGTTTTGAGGTTTTGACACTGTAGTCCATAGACGTAACGTGCTATTCTACCAAAGTCCATAAGTTATGAAGTATAAGTAGTACTATTATAGTACTATAATAGTACCTACATAATGATAGCTCGGTCTTAGAAATTATAAGAATTAGGTATAAATGCAGTTTAGTTCCCCATCGCCAATTTGATGTTTTTTTTATTCATCGAAACTTAAAACTTAATTCGAAGAGTTAAGAACGTCGGTGCAATCAGAATTTGTTGCTCTTACTTTTAAAGTTATAGCCTTCCAAAGTTTGTGATTTTACGTTTCTTCGAATGAGCTGGACACTGCAGCTTTATATTACTGCGCGGAGGAACCCCGAATATGACAATAGTGCACTCAGAGTTTTGATGTTGTGGTGATATAACGTCATAAACTTATAACTATACTAATTTACTTTATGCACTTGTTTTTACGCCTAGGTTGTTGTTATTTACCTACCAGTGTTGGTCACGCACGGTCACGGCACAATCAAGTTAATTTTAGAATTTGGCGTGATAACATTTTAATGGTGTATTACAATCTAATTTCCATAATAATATAATATTATCTAAAAACGTATTTAAAATTAAACGTTTATTAGGTATCGCCCATCCCCAGAAGTTGGCTATTATGGGGTGGTTGGGTGACCGGTGATGGTAGCGAAGGGGGCAGTGGCGTCATTAGAGTGCTACTTAGATAGTTAGAATGTAAGATGCTAGACAATAGACATTAACTGGTTATCTTCTAGTCTTCATAGTACCAAACATGTCAACAGCTTGATTTAAATCTTTATTAGTGAAGCTAAAGAAATAATTTGAAATGTTAATTTATAGCGGGCTTGGGGCCCATATTCGGCACGCTAATGATAAGGGTGAGGGGCAAATGCCTACCCTGCCCATCCCCAAATGACACCACTGGAGGGGGGGGACTAACGTGTTATTTTAACTAATAAGGTTAAATTTACTTGTTAGGTTCTCCGTCTACACGATAATCGTTAAACAATGGCACTAAAATAGATGACAAGTAAAAAATGACAAAGATAAAAACATAAAATGTATTTCACTTATAAGTTATAAGTCACAAATATTACTTATTAATAGGCTAATGGCTAATTTCTAATAGTTAACCCACTACCAAATAACTACCATCGAATGGCTACATATATATTAAAAAGACACACCCAAGATTTTTTTAGGGATGGGGTGGAATTAAATAACATTTATTTTTAAATTATTTCATATTTTTAAATATTTACAGAACTCCGAAAGATCGTTAGTTGAAATAAACTTTACATTATGAACATTAAACGAATTTGATCCAGTCGTAAAAAATTATAGTATAAAATTAAAAACATCTTTAGATATTTTACCAGAATCTTTGAATAGGTAGGTATTTGTTAAAATTTAAATATTTTTTAAAAAAGTTATTTTTTTCAAACTAATGA